GCCCCTCAGAGTTTCCTTGTCTGATCCCCATGATGTACCTGCAAGTCTCTTTAATAACTGTAACCGCCTCAATGCCTTATTCCTGACGTTTTCAATATGGTTCTTGAGGCTGAGCTGCCGGTCAAGTGTGACTCCAAGGTATGTGGGATGCTCTTCTTTCATCACTTGGTGTTTGTCTAACCTCAGGTTAATATTCTTCCTTGCTACTTGGTGGCTTTTGGTAAAGATTGTGTAGACCGTCTTTGCACAGTTAACCTTGAGTTTCCATCTTTGGCAGTACTCCGAAGCAGATAGTCGGGGGCATTGCACCTAAGGGGACCAGCACTTGGGAATTCCAGTCTCCATCATGCCACCCCACCCCACATGTATTTTAACAAATGCCTTTCACTTTTATTTCAGACCAAGGGACCTCAACACACCAGGGTGGAACCCACCTCTACCAATCTGTCACTCTCATTCTACCGACCTAACTATCACATCTCCTGGCACATTCAAGCAAATTAGATCTCTCATTTGCAGCCTATCTTATTTCCACTACTCCTCCACACTCTGTGGGAAAAAAAAAAGGGCTGATCACAACAACAGATTGTGACGGCCCTGGTTGTCCTGAAAAGGAGCATTGTTTATGACGTTGTGACCCGGTGTTTGTTTGGCTTTTCCCGGCGGCTTACAGATCGGCAACCAGGCAGCAACAGGGCACCAGCACAGCGACCAGCACGAGGCAAGCCAAGCACCAGCAACAGTCAGCTAGTACCCGTAGATATCATCACAAAGAGATCTGGACCACACCAGATCCAAAGACCACAGCACAGCAAGGAAGCAAAGAACCAGAATATCAGGTGTGACTACACACCACAAATAAAAGGAAATCAAATAACAGAGCAAAGGAACCTTCCTCGATATAGCAGGCCTCCGGGCGGCTGAAAAAGGATCACACATTTGAAATTTTTGTTGAGACGAATTGGAATTGGAAGTTTTGGGAGAACAAGAAATCAAAACATTGTTTTGGGGATGAAAAGTGACCATACATGAATTTTAAATAGAGGGCAGAGAAAAGAAATTCACATGCATTGCTAACATAGAAGCATGTTGCAGTAATGATAGTCTACAATCTGCATTAGTTTTATATGGTGTTAAGGATAATTCAGTCTGTCTAATCCAAGACTGAGGCAAAATCTGGATCCTAAACCCATCGGCTGTCTACAATATGACTGGTCTTCAGTTGGCTATAGACTGCAGGTGTTAGGATGTCAGGCTATCTAAGGGAAAGGCAGAAAATGTATCCTTAACCCATGGGCTGTTGCAAAATGAGAGTCTACATTCTTATCTCAGACTGAGTGTACCAGTTAACTACAAGTGATCTGAAAGGGAGAGACAGACACTGTAACAGAACCTGAACCCACTGGCTGATTGTCTTAATGCCATTACTTTGTCTGGCTTCTGCTGTATGTGTCAATCCTCCAGTCTGATTCAAGAGAAGTTCAAAACTCAGAATCTGAACCTGCTGACAGTGTCAAAACGACAGTAAAATTCCTGCTCATGACACTAAAATGTATCCCTAATCTAGGGAACCTATTGCCTATATCAGAGCACTCTGGATCGTCAATTGAAGAAAATTATGATGTGTGTTGGATTAGGAAAAACATTAAGATGTTATAATTATAGGAGCAAATGTTTCATGCTCTTGATCCAATGTTTTCTCTGTCCCTTAGTGCCATGGCACTGCATTAGATTTTTTTCGCTGGTTGTAGTTCATGTCTGATATATCTTTTTGAAATTTATAAACTTTATTCTTATTATTTTAACTATAAGTAGATATTGTGGGGGGCTTTATAAACTTCTGTTGTTCACATGAAATAAATTATCTATATCTGCAATGCTGTCTCTAGTATGAACTTCACTGTCTTTTGTAATTCACTAAACAGTCCATAAAGTGACTTTCACAAGTGTCTCTTTTGGCCAGAAGTTATGCCTGGAAGTGTTGAATCTGGGACAGTTTTGGAGGATGTGATCTGTTGTCTCAGGTGCCAGATTTTCTGTACATGTGGCAGTGAAGTCGATTGTGCCCTGTTCTAAGGCAAAGGATAGTGACTTGCTCTGGTCTGTCCATAATATGGTAATCGTCTTGTGCCAATTTTGGTGGCTTTCTGAATGATTTGATTGTTCTCTTCTTCTGTTGACAAGAGACTGGTATGTCAGTGTGTTCTTCAGTTGCACCTTCCTTAGCTAGTTTATCAGCTCTTTCGGTTCCAGGAACTCCACAGTGGGAAGGTATCCACTGCATAACTAAATTACAACGGTTGCCTAGTTTGGATAATAGTGTCGGTATACTTGGTAATTTGCCAGACCGACGTGCCTGAAGTACTGCTTTTGCATTTGTCAGGAATATCACTTGCTATAAAAAAATTAGTACTTTACCACTATCTTGATGGCTTAAACTTCTGCGTCATAGTTGTGACAGTGCTTTCCTGTAGGTATTTTGGTTGTATCCCTGGTATTATTAGGATACACAATGTACACTCCTGCACCTTCATTTCTGACTGCGCTTTATAAACTGTGGGTTAGTCTTTAACTAGATATTTACTAGGTGTCCATATTTTCTATTTCAGTGGGTAACACCTACCATCTAGTTCCTAAAGCAGGAATTGCTGTCTGCTTATATAATAATATCCTGGGACCAAACCCTTTCAGTTATAGTTGAGAAATTTCTGCAGTTGCTGAGTCATGGAATCATAGAGTCCTTGTAAATCTATCTCTTCTCTGTAAAGACCGTCTGTCTTTTATGACAGAGACAGGTGTGCTCCGTGCAGAAAGGCAAGAATGGCTTCAGAGGTCCCAAGTAATTAGCCTCCTTTGGATATTTTCTCCAGGTCATGCTGATGAAAGAGCAGGTAGATAGACTGGCCGGCTTTGCACCACTTTGTGAATTGACGATGTTGTGAGAGCCCTTTGGGAGCGACTGAACAGTGCATACACACAAACAGATCATTACGGTCTGAGGAGAATGGCACTGTGGGGAGTTAATAGGGGATCTTGTCAATGCTCAACACTCAAGGAAAGGAGAGAAGGATGTACAATTAGACAGTTATTGGTGTCACCAGAATTGGAACTCTTTGCCTGCTGTTGAAGATGGGGATGGAGCGCTTATGGGAATGCCCAGAACGCTATATTGTCGTTTCATAATTCAACATGTGACACCCCATAATTGTTTAACTTTAATTGATTATTTTACATAAGTTCATAACCTAGCATAACTATGCCCCTTTAGTTAATCATCTATAAGTTCACTAATTTATCATCTATAATGTACCCCCAATTCTTCATCCTCCTTAGCCTTGTACTGCTAAGGCTTTCTTCTTCTAAACAGTCACCAATGTTTTGCACGTAACCAAGATATTCGGTTTATGACAATTTCTCAACCAAGGATTGCATGTTCTAGCTGTGTGTAGTCTCATTTGGACAGTAAGTTTGTTTCTCTACTGTTCAGAAAAAGTGCCTCACTGTCTTTGAACAAAAAGATTACCTTTTCTTATCCACGTTTAAGAAACACAAAAAAAATATTCACGGGATTTTGATTTCTGTGTGGAAAAAAAGTGCAACACATTTAATACTTTTTTTTATATATCATCATTACAATTTCTGCACATATGTTGAACAGATGCAATAAAGAATGTAAAATTGTCATGCTACCCCTGATATCAATGACAATGTTTTAACTTAACTGAAAATATATGACCTATCTATCACTGTTTTTGTGATTCAAATGCTGTCTCTTTTCTTTATGATTAACAATATGATAGTTGAAGCAGTCTGTATTTATTTTAAGTAGAGGGTAAGGATTATATACTCTTCCCTGTTTTAGGCCAAAACAGGACTGACCCAGATCTTAGGTACAGTGGAGAATATGACAAGAACACCGGCTCCTTCAGTCTGGTGACTTCCTTTTATTAAGCTGATCAAACTTTGAATTTAACTCAACTTAAGCTGAGATCAGTATTATTATTACCAACACCAAAAATGTCTTAAACTTGTTGACAGCCATTTCTGAAAGCTTGAAACCAGACTCAGTCCAGACAAACTTTACTGTAACCTGCCATGGATTATTAAACTGAAAGTGAAAGCTAACAATCAATGGTATTAATGTTAACGAAACTGAAAATAAGTCAATTTTACACTCTTCCTGTATTGCCAAGCAAATCTAATGGTTGTTATTTTTTTAAACCTATCTTTCTTCTATAGTTATAAGCATTACAAACCCCAATGTAGTCATTATACCCTTACTTCTTAGCTGTGAGATATTTCTGTCCCCATTTCACTGAGTGTTATATTTAAACCAATTTGATTTTTGATTATTTGGATCAAGTTCTGATTAACACTCAGATTCAATAAACTGTTTTAAGTAAAATTCAAGGGATCTGAGAACCCATATCATTATCACCTGGAACAGAAAAAGATGGAAACTCATTTAGCAGATGAGTAGTAACAAAAGATAAGGACTATCATCACTATTATTTTTTATCTATAACCCATAACCAATTCTGAAACTGAAACAAACGACAGAGAAAAGTAGCAGAGATTATTTTAGGTCCAAGCGGTAGTGTAGTGGTTGCTAGTATTATAGAGTAGCAGCAGGCTTGTGTGTGTGATGGAGATTTAATGCAAAACATCTACTACGAATCACTAGTCAGATGTGGTTAAATATGTGATCCTGTGTCGTCCTTGATATGAGTTACTGATTAAATGGAAGAGTGGATACTACTTGACTAGACCCCACATCTGACATTCTTACATTAGATCATATATACATTTAAGAGACCTTTACTTGGCATCTTCTAGCATACGGCGACTTAACGGGTCTGAAATCAAAATTACAAACGTTTAAAGTTGACCAGGGTGAGTCTCTGCCATATCGGAGATTGAAAACAAGTGACTTTAAGTGGCGAGAGATGGCTGACATTACTCAATCATTACCGCAATGACAAACTTATTATAATACTTACCCAAGAACTCCGCGACCAAGTTTTTTGTCGGGTCTCTTCCATGGTGTAAGACCCCCATTTTTTAAAATGTTTTTATTTACTGAAAAATTCAGTCCAAATGTACATGCCCGATTATCACCTCGCTTTCTTTTTTGTAACAGTAACTGCTCATTATGTAAAGTGGTCGTGTCCGTCAGCCCGTCTAGAGGAATAAATTCTTGTGGTTTTTGGTCTGAAGTTGATCCCTTAAGCATAGTTTCCAAATTGTATTGTGTTTCCCAGACTCGCGTCCATAAATCATGCGCTAATCCTAGATGTTCCGGTGGAAACCAAGCAATCCTTGGATCCATAAAAAAGAATGAAATAAAAATCTTTCACACTCAGCAGTAAGCAGTTTTCACGTCACAATCACACTCTGACAAGCCACCCTCTGGGAAGGAAGTTCAAATCTCTTTTTGTCTTCATGGTGCGCATGCGTGTGGATTCGGAGACTACCGATCGCAGATCGGAAAGACAACCGATCTCACTCGGGACCTTCCGAAGTTTCTCATTTGTTCCCGAGTTTTTTTCTTAAAGACTGATATAATTAACACTAGTAAAGCAAGCCAAGACGCTGGGGAAGAAGTGAATTGTGAAGGACTCCGTGTTGTCCTCCTAGCTCTCTGAGTGTCAATCGATACTTAAACATGTATAAAATCGTGTTTCTTTGAGGGTCTCGGGGATTCCCTTCTTTCTATATTTCTTGTGCAGTACGTCAGGCATTCCTGTCATAGCTCAAAAACAGGCATAGTCGCCCACGTTGTGTTCACTTATTGTAATGTTACTGCAAATAGAAGGTTTCTTGCACCGTCAACACATTTTACTTTTGATGTGTAACTCTGGTTTTGTTAGCGAAGGAGCTCGCCACAGGTTTCATTTATAAGTCGTAGTTTGAATTTTTATTTGTATTCAGTCACGAAAGTGACGCAAATAACCCAGACCACAAATATAGGCGGAGACTGTTAGCAGCCTAGGCTAGCTAGCAGCAGTCTGAACGTGGTCGAGCTTTTCTTTTTTTTCTCAAAAGGACTTGGACTTGGACTTTTTATTTATGTTCTTTGATCCAAATGTCATCACGGCCATAGTTCCTCCCTTCCTTTCCCTTAACTTTTAGTGATAACAGTCTATCACGTATTCCGGAAAATGTAATACATCTATCTAAAAACGAGAAGGTATATATTTTAATAAAATTCCGTAATCAGGCAAAAGAGTTCTCGGACCTTTTTTTTTTAACATTTCATAGATAAATAATTTCTTATATATTATGTTTAATAAAAAGTTAAAGAAGGCTTAAGTTCCACGAGTTCCCCCCCCTCCCCTCCCCCCTCCCCCATACTGTAAAATGTTGCACGCGTGAACTGGTCGACGCAGTCCGTGAAATTATCCCACAGCCTACAGAGCGCGAGACAAACGGCTTTACACATTCGCCACTCACACTCCCTTACCCCGGCAAAAGAGTTTTTACATGGATACTTGTGCTTTTGATGTCGCACTTGTCAGAGCAGAAACACAGATGAGTATCATTTATTGTGTACATTAGTCCCATGTAGTCACTTCATAGTTAGAGTATATTTGTGTATGTGTACTGTATTGTTCTTTATGTGCTGATGTAGGCTAATCGCCGCAACGTCCTTTGTTTGTTTATTGTGATCGATTTTGTAAAGCTAACATAAACTGTTTGTTGTTTCTTACAAACTTTTTCTCTTCCCTATAATTTTCTACTCCTTTTAAAAACTTGTCAGAGAAGGCTATTTATTGGATTTAATCTGTGGCTTAGGCATTGCAATCCTAATTCTGAGGTGGCGGGTTTGATACCACCCACCTGCAGTGGATTTGACAGCAGAACATCTTGCGTTGGGTTTGACAGTGGTCTCGAAAGCCGACCATGTAGTGACAATATCAAACCGCTGAACATGAAACTGGTAAAACCAAACAGCAAAAAAAAAAAAAAAAAATGCTGGTGATGGTTCTACAACGTCTTGTAGTCTTGTATGTTGAGATAACAAGCGCCATCACAGTACTCGGGACATTCCCATAAGCACTCTGTCCACATCTTCTGCAGCCAGCGAACAGTTTCAATTCTGATGGTTCAAGTAGCAGTTTGATTATATGTCCATATTGCTTTACATCTGAGTGTAGTGTGTCGATCACTTCCCCTAGTCCCTCCTAGCTGTATCATGATGACGTCTTTTCGTGTCTTCGCCTTGTTCACTTACTTCCAAAGGGCACTGAGTACATAAACGTCCAGTAACAAGGACGTGCAACTAACTAACGCCATGGAATTTGGAAGAGACTACATTATATTCGATTGACTTATTTTGCAAATAACTCCTATCATGTAAAGCCGTATTTGTATCGGGCACTTGTCGATGTTGCCGTATTGTGTTCTATGTGAATCTCCGCCTTTTACGTTCAGTGCGTAAATAAATTTTCCATTGGCAAATAGTGCCACTTCGCCTCAGAACAGAATGCAAAGCCTGTTACAATTATATTTTAAAAGAACAAGAAAAAGACACAAGTATGCAGTTTATATAATTGTTATCTTACAACAGTACTGCAATTACTACCGATGGTCAGTCTATGGATCATGCTAATATTATTAATATTCCCTCGGAGATATGGGAAGGATAGAGGACTTTGGTGGCAGTGAATCCACATCACTCGCCAGAATGGCAGACTTGGGAATTAAGATCGGCGTAGCAAAAAACGAGACGCACACCAGACACACCAGAAGACTTGTTAATCAACATAGAACTGGTACTATTAGCCATCAGACGTTGGGGTTCATACTGATGGGAGGATCTGAGCACCTATGGAAATGTCCCGAGTGCAATGATGATAAACCAACTAACTAACTAACTAACTAACTAACTAACTAACTAACTAACTAACTAACTAACTAACTAACTAACTAACTAACTAACTAACTAACTAACTAACCAACCAACCAACCAACTAACTAACTAACTAACTAACTAACCAACCAACCAACCAACCAACCAACCAACCAACCAACCAACCAACCAACCAACCAACCAACCAACCAACTAACTAACTAACTAACTAACTAACTAACTAACTAACTAACTAACTAACTAACTAACTAACTAACTAACTAACTAACTAACTAACTAACTAACTAACTAACTAACTAACTAACTAACTAACTAACTAAGTACTGCAATGTGACTTTGTAACGTAAATAATTTGCATATTGTTCCAGTTTCATGGCGCAGTGATTGCGGTCACAGGCGTGATGGAAAGTCAAGGCTGTTGTGATATATATAAGGATATACTGCTTACCTCACCTCGGGCGCAAGCTTGCTTTGTGATAGTTTTACGGATCCTCGTGCAAGACTCATGCAACACGTATCCGTCATGCGCCACGGATAATAGCTCATGTGAGCATAAAGAACTCCTGGAGTTGAAGGTTGAATTAAGAATCGACATCAGAGCACTCTGGTCACTCCCAATAGCGCTCCGTCCCCATCTTCAGCAGCAAGCCAAGAGTTCCAATTTCGATAGCACCAGTAACTGTCTGATGGTGTATCCGCCACATCTTTGCCTTGAGTTTTGAGCCTCGGCAAGACCTCCTGTTAACTCCTCGTAGTGCCATTCTCCACAGATCGTCATGATCCATCTGTGCCTCGCAGTGCTCATGTCACATACCGCTCGTGTCGCGTGCCTGATTTAAGGATTTCTCCTTAAGAACCAACAGCACTCTGAAATAATAATGTTGAGGCGTTGGCTCATATTGGTCTAAGGGAGATCCCGTGACCAATATACGCCCAACTTATTTCAGGAGTAGGGCAACTCGAGCTCTAGCACTACATAATATCTAATATTCCTAGGCACACTTGGCTGGACACCCCCACCACTATAAAAAGCTAGCACCCAGGTTATGAAAGTATACTATCATAGCCATGTTAACACAGATTACACTTTTTAATCACACAAGCATAAAACTAGACAGTTAAAATGGTGAAACGGGGACACCCAAGTCAACCATGAACATTTCTGAGAATGCATGTAATATATTCAATATATACATATATATAAATATCAAGACAATCAAGATGGTTTCCAGTGAAAGGAGTTCATGACTTGACGTCACAGCATTGATGTTGAAACAGCCAGAGATTGTTCTTACACGAATATATATTTCATCACGGTGAACTGAAGGTGAGCATAGACAGAGAGCATGTAGGTCATCCTCGATGTACTTAACCAAACTGGTAGGTCTCTGCTCCCCTCAGTCCATGGTGACTTGAATCGGCTGACTCAATAGATTGCGTTTCTCTCTGGTTGATCTGGCCTCCACTGATCGTCTCACTTACGAGGACAAAGGAACTATACTGGAGCCCAACAAAGCTCCTGAAGAAGACTTCCTTGGATTGATGACACATGTGGCCTGCAACACTGTCACTCAGCCACTGGAACTCACACACAAGCTCCTGAAGAAGGATTCCTTGGATTGATGACACAGGTGGCCTGCAACACTGTCACTCAGCCACTTGAAATGTGACGTGCCCGCTTAGGGGTGTCAGCGTCACGACTTGTCCACAGTGTAGTGTTGGCTGTTCACTCCACAACAGCTCACACGCTCCATAAGGGCGCCCACAACATCTAGCTTGTGAAACGTCGGTTCACTACAAAGTGGTGCAGCTGAAATGGAACCCGTCACCCCGGTATTACAAAGCTCGTTCACAAAGCCTAGGCCATAGACACCGACATTTTTTCCCCTGTATCGATAAATCTGTCAATGCACTACAACACTGAAATGTTTAATTCTTCATTCAAAATGAGTGTTTCATCTTGAGCCTTTTCTCTGGGTATCATTTGTCTTTTAGCTGGTGATTCATCTTTTTCTTCTTCTTCTTCTTCTGCCTTTCTATCCCCCAATGGAGTATAGGCCCTCAACCAACTCACGCCAAGTCGTTCTATCCTTCGCCATTGCATGGAGCTCTCCCCATGTCCTCCCAATCTTTCTAACCTCATTCTCCAGCTCTCTTCTCCATGTGATTTTTTGGCCATCCTTTATTCCTATGCCCATGTGGGTTCCAATGCAAAGACATTCTAGTTATGCTGTTCTCCTGTTTTCTCAGTGTGTGCCCTATCTAACACCAGCGTCTTTTCCTCACCTCCTGATCCACTGGAGCCTGTTTAGTTCTCTCCCAAAGTTCTACATTTTTCTATTATACCATTTTATTCCCTCTATTCTGCGCAGGCACCAGTTAATGAATGTCTGTAATTTATTAGTAATTGCCTTGGTTGTTCTCCATGTTTCCGCCCCATACAATAGTACTGATTT